GTGTTAGCGTCAGACATATTTTGGAGCTCGAAGCAATGAATCGTTTCAAACTAGATAACTACGTAAATGAATAATGAAATACTAATCCACTCCTGCTGCAGGAGTCCTGCACCTATATTACAGCAATAATCTACTAGTTGGCAATTGGCAACTGCCCGGTAAGTCCGTCGCGCTAGCAATTCCCAATATTATTCGCGTGTCTACTTCCAATAATTTTCGCTAGAGATTTGTGTGATGTGAACTTCACATTGTGAAGTAGGCGCATTGTCCCAGCGACGGTCGCTGAGGGACCTACCCGCGTTCTACGACACTGTCGTTACTGTCGTAGCGACAGTATTATGATAATGTGAACGTGTATTGTTAATAGCGCATTATTAATAAGTTATTAATTGACACTGTAAAAACGCGACTCGTTCAAGAAGATAAAAATGACATTTGCGATTGATCTCAGATGATACAGTATGCGGACTCCTAACTAAAGATCTCAGTCTCACTACCAGTCTCTAACAAGACCACTTAACACATAGTCGGGGATAACTAATTAAGCTTGTGAGCTAGTTCGTAGGTAAAAAAACAAAGAAAAGCCCACTACGCAGGGGGAACATCGTTCGCTCATTTGCAAATACAGAAGAAACAGTTTAAAAAACGACAAGTTACCGCATATGCAAGAAACATCAAGAGTCCTAACGATGAAGAATAACATAGAATCGAACCAGCGACCTTCGGATCAGAATACTTAACTTATTCCCAACTTAGCTACGAATCATATACAAGTATTTCTTCCAGGATTGTGTTTTCGAGTTAGAAATGAACATTAGCAATATTTTGGAAAAAATCGTGACAAAAATATAAATTCCGATTTGGTTTAAACATTACCCTTTTTATCGATTATATTGGCGCGCGGTTTTGTATTGGTTAAATTCGGGTTTGGTAAAATACAGGCGTCACGCGATGTAGAGACAATAGCGTGCGCCATTGCAATCGATAATCTAACTACTTGATTCTGATGATGCAAGATAATTTGTAAACCTCTCGTAGTGACTATGAAGCCTACAAATGTCTCCCAAGAGGTGGTGGGGCAGGCATCTAATACGGTGTCTATGATGCGTGTCCACTCTACATCATCATTATCATCATCGTCTGATGGCATGTCGTCATCATCATCATCATTATCATCTTACTCCTCTTCTTGCACCTTCTGTTACGGTTCGGGTGTATCATCTAATAGGGAGGATGAAGCTGATGAATTAGCAGCAACAGGAGGAGTAAATTCTAAGATGGTGGATAACGATGCGACTATGCATCATGGTCATCATCATCACCACCATCATAGATGTACTTATCAACAATATGAACTACGAGAACAGTTACAACCTACTACTACTATGATCGATGGTGATATAGATAATCGTCATGGTATAGTAGTAGAGGATGAGAAAGGTAATAGTAATGCTATGATGGTTGTTATTATTATAAGTATATTTAGATACTACTACAGTGAGTACAAATCATAACATCCACTCGACTAGCCATTCATCATCACATTATGCTGATCCTGATGTATGGTCTCCTACTAAAGAGTAATAATAATATTATGATTACGTTAATGTTGTTGTATTAGGTATAAATTACGAGCTGGATGTGTGGTATATGATGAATCTGGTACTAATATATTGTTAGTTAATTCTACTAGACATGGATCTGATCGTATGACACATACTATACCATCTGGTAAAGTAGAATCATTTGATCAAGATTTGGAGACAGCAGCAGTAAGAGAGACCATTGAGGAGGCAGGAGTAGAGTGTAGTGTTATATGGGATCTTGGATGGTTTATATCATCTACTAAAACTGGACAACCTACAGTAACCAGATTATTCCTAGCTCAATGTACTAATATATTATCTACATGGAGGGAGGTAATAATAATAAGAATAGATAATGTATTATTAATAATAATGTTTGGTAGTCGGAATTCCGTGAGAGGATGTGGTGTAGTGTATCAAGAGCACTATCCTTATTAGGAAGGAAGAAGCCTCATTATCGTTTAGCTCTACATATGGCTGCTAATGTAATAGCAACAACGACTAGCATCACCACTATGTTATGATAATATTATTTAGTCATATGCACAGCATGGACATCCACCACATTCACCTTTATCATCATCATCAATATCATCACCACAGAAGGTAGATGATGATGAGAAGAAGAAGAAAAAGATGATGATGGATAGTACCAATGGGGTAGTACTTCTCAATATCGATGATGACCAGGATGGGGCTCATCAATTAACACCACCACCACAAGCACAAGCAGTAGTAACAACATCAACAACAATACATGATGATGATTATGCTCGGCAACAGTCATCATCATC